CCTGCTTTAGCCCTGGTGAGAAGCATAGCACCTTGGTTTTGGAGATATTCAGGACTAGTTTAAGAGCAACTAGCTGATGTTGTAGTTTGTTGAAATCACTCTGCAGCTTAGCAATAACAACGGCCCTTCTATAGGTACTGCCTCCGGGCTAGCGTGCCTAATACGGGACTGCTACTCTGGGTCCTCCGGCTATGGCTGCTATAAAAATGGCCACATGATAAGCCACTTCATTGAGCTATCATTTGTGGCCAAAGACGCCAGGTCGCTTCTGAAAAGAGCTATATATAGGCCTCGGCAAGGTAAAAGGTAGGGTAGAGTGATTGTATTGTGGTAAGGTAAAAGGTAAGGTAACGGTAGGCGTGTTTTTTTTTACATTTTAACTTTTATCTTACCTTGCCGAGGCCTAGCTATCTAGCTCGCTGGGCCTTACCCGGGAGCACTGCACGTCCAACGTGGGAGACGGAGCAATGAAATCTGCTCATGTGCAGTTGCCGGATGGATTGTTGCATTGTAACAGGTTCGTTTAAGGTTCACCGGGTTACAGAGATGGACATTGGAGTGGGCCCCGGGGGGGTCAGGAACCAAGGGGAAGACCCAGAGCAGTGGGGGACCACTTTCACCGATAAGATCTAATACAGTACATTTGTAATGATAATAGAGCCTGCGTGCGGTGTGAGGGGACTAGTGGCCACGGGAGGTAATGACAGGGGAGTCGGCCTACAGTGTGAATGGACTGGTGGCCACGGGAGGTAATGACAGGGGTGTCAGCTGTGAGTGCGAAGGGACTAGTGGCCACGGGAGGTAATGACTGGGGTATCAGTTGTGAGTGTGAAGGGACTGGTGGCCACGGGAGGTAATGACGGGGGAGTCAGTTGTGAGTGCGAAGGGACTGGTGGTTACGGGAGGTAATGACAGGGGTATCAGTTGTGAGTGTGAAGGGACTGGTGGCCACGGGAGGTAATGACAGGGGTATCAGTTGTGAGTACGAAGGGACTGGTGGTTACGGGAGGTAATGACAGGAGTATCATATTCTTAGGTTCTTTCGGTAAAGTCACGTAGGTAAAAAATAAAAATTAATTAAAGTAAAATAAAAATTAAATAAAAAAATCACGACGTTTCGGAGGCAACACAAGCTTTCGTCTTCAGGTGGAACCGTCACAGCACGATAGCTGTATCAAGTAAATGAGAGATTCTAAGAGATACTACCCCGTATATATACTGGTTGATGGGGGGGGGGGGGGGGATGGGCCAGGAACGGCCCACTTTTTATTATTATGGTAAGGTGCGGCTTGAGACTACGGCTAGTCTACGTAACAAAGGACTGAGCCTGAGAGGGGGGGGGGGGGGGGTGCCAGAGTTGTTCAAAGTGCAACTGCTGCTAATGAGACCGAGCCTCTGCCGTGTAGATGGTAAAAGCACAAAAGCAGGTCAGGAAGAAACAGCCTCCTGCTGTGTTGTTTGGTGGGTAAAACTTATAGCAGGAAACCAGTGTGTGAAAAAAGAAGCTAAACATGGTAAAACAAAACTGGCTGTCTATCGGTAACCTGTACAGTAACTCAAGAATAGTTGTCTGTCAAATAAGATGGTCCAAATATGTGTAGTTAAATCTTTTTTGCATGGTTAATCACATCTTTCCAATGATTACTCAGTTTGTACCCATCATCACGGTTGAAATTATGTCTGTGTTTGTATATTTGCATGGCTTCGTGTACAAACCTTTTGATAGTAGCCAGGAGGTTTGCAGAGTACCTTGGTCTCGGAAAAGACAATTTCATGAGAGCCCACAGAGTTGTAGCAATGATCGGCAACGGCCGAAGAATCAGTTCTGCCGTGTTTCAGATCTGACTTGTGCTCGCGGACACGATCAGAGACATGACGTTTCGTTTCTCCAATGTAGCAATCACCACAAATGCAACTCAGTTTGTAGACTCCAGGATACTGTAAGTCAGGAACGACATCCTTCACAGATGGAATCAGATCACGGATTTTATGCACTGTACTGAATTGGACTTGGATCTTATGCTTGTTTAGAATTTTGGAGATCTTTTTGGTCACGCCTGCTATGTATGGCAACGTGATAGTTTAGATCGGAGTTTCATGTGGCTGTTTCTGTATGGTGGGAGAGACAGCTTGGCGGATGGTGCGGTCAGAGTATCTGTTCATCCTGAGGGCCCGATGTACGTGTCTTAATTCACTGGCCAGGTGGTGTTGGTCAGAAATGCCATGAGCTCTGTGGTATAGCGTTTTAATGAGATAATTATTTTGAGATGGGTGGTGGTGGGAATCCAGTTTCAAGTAGGAATCTGTGTGGGTGGCTTTCCTGTGTGGGTGGCTTTCCTGTAGACAGAATGTCTACAGGAAAGCCACCCACACAGATTCCGGGAGGTAATGATTGGGGTATCAGTTGTAAGTGCGAAGGGACTGGTGGCCACGGGAGGTAATGACGGGGGAGTCAGTTGTGAGTGCAAAGGGACTGGTGGCCACGGGAGGTAATGACAGGGGTATCAGTTGTAAGTACGAAGAGACTGGTGGCCACGGGAGGTAATGACTGGGGTATCAGTTGTGAGTGTGAAGGGACTGGTGGCCACGGGAGGTAATGACGGGGGAGTCAGTTGTGAGTGCGAAGGGACTGGTGACCACGGGAGGTAATGACGGGGGTATCAGCTGTGAGGTATGAAGCAACTGGTGGCCACAGGAGGTAATGACAGGGGTATCAGCTGTGAGTGCGATGGGACTAGTGGCCGCGGGAGGTAATGACAGGGGTATCAGTTGTCAGTGCGAAGGGACTGGTGGCCACGGGAGGTAATGACTGGGGTATCAGTTGTGAGTGTGAAGGGACTGGTGGCCACGGGAGGTAATGACTGGGGTATCAGTTGTGAGTGTGAAGGGACTGGTGGCCACGGGAGGTAATGACGGGGGAGTCAGTTGTGAGTGCGAAGGGACTGGTGGTTACGGGAGGTAATGACAGGGGTATCAGTTGTGAGTGTGAAGGGACTGGTGGCCACGGGAGGTAATGACGGGGGAGTCAGCTGTGAGTGCGAAGGGACTGGTGGTCACGGGAGGTAATGACAGGGGTATCAGCTGTGAGTGCGAAGGGACTGGTGGTCACGGGAGGTAATGACAGGGGTATCAGCTGTGAGTGTGAAGGGACTGGTGGTCACGGGAGGTAATGACAGGGGTATCAGCTGTGAGTGTGAAGGGACTGGTGGCCACGGGAGGTAATGACGGGGGTATCAGCTGTGAGGTGTGAAGGGACTGGTGGCCACGGGAGGTAATGACGGGGGTATCAGCTGTGAGTGCGAAGGGACTGGTGGCCACGGGAGGTAATGACTGGGGTATCAGTTGTGAGTGTGAAGAGACTGGTGGCCACTGGAGGTAATGACAGGGGTATCAGCTGTGAGTGTGAAGGGACTGGTGGCCACGGGAGGTAATGACGGGGGTATCAGCTGTGAGGGGTGAAGGGACTGGTGGCCACGGGAGGTTAATGACGGGGGTATCAGCTGTGAGTGCGAAGGGACTAGTGGCCGCGGGAGGTAATGACAGGGGAGTCAGCTGTGAGTGCGAAGGGACTGGTGGCCACGGGAGGTAATGACAGGGGTATCAGCTGTGAGTGCGAAGGGACTGGTGGTCACGGGAGGTAATGACAGGGGTATCAGCTGTGAGTGCGAAGGGACTGGTGGTTACGGGAGGTAATGACAGGGGTATCAGCTGTGAGTGCGAAGGGACTGGTGGTTACGAGAGGTAATGACGGGGGTATCAGCTGTGAGTGCGAAGGGACTGGTGCCTATGGGAATGATCGAGAAGGGAGCGTGGTCAGGTGACGGAAGCGGACGGTGGAGTCTGCCGGTGGAGCGAGCGTCCAGAGTCAGCGAGAATGATCGAGAAGGGGGGCGTGTCCTAATGTCGGTATATAAGGGGGAGATGCGCGGGGACTGGTGGCCACCAGTCCCTTCCCTGAACCGGTCCTGGGCCTCCCCTAGGTCGACTCAGCCTCAAATGAGTACCTGGTGCGTGTGTGTAAACATCGTCGCTAGGGAGACAAAGGCGGTCGGGCGTGGTGCTGGCCACCCACCCCCTCGTGTACCGTTCTGGCCTTCATAGGTGCTCGCTAACAGCACTTGGCCCTACAGTCTGTTAAGGCTACACGGGGGATCTTTGATCTTTGATGCGCGGGAGACCCGGGGCTGTTGCGGTGGGGGTCTCCGCCTGATGTCAAGTGAACGCGTCTTCAATGAAGTGCCATCTCAAGAGAAGTGTGTCAAGTCGTCATTACACATCTAAAAACATTCTATACAGCATATACATTTGGCATTCTAGGTGAGATTTGAGAACCAACATACAGCAGCGTTCTTCACTACGTTTAAGATGGGGAGAGGGGCACTTTCACTGACGATAAGACATCAGTGTGAGTGAACTTGCCGCCACACATTTGAAACCATTGTTGTTGGGTTTGACAGCAGCACGATAATGATGATGGGGGGGAGGGGGGTGTTGTCACTTTTGCATCGTGTCGGGGTGGGCCCCCCCCTCCCCCACCAGGGGGTCCTGTCATGAAGAGCACTGGCCTCGAGCCCGATGGGTGTGGGAGTTTGTAAGAGCGGTAATTCAGAAGCTGCCATTGCCAACTTTGCAACATTCCGGCGTTAGGTGTGTCTGCACCAGACACACCGGTTGGCATGTCCGGCGGTGGTAACGCGTTCAGTGTTGTACACGGTACCTTTTTAAATACGAGAAAAAATGCAAAGTGAATCGGTTATCGCATCGTATTCTATTTTCATCGGGCGGTATAACCAGATGATTGCTACGAATGTTTGTCTAATTAGCACTCCTCGCACATGGCATGTACTCAAAACTGGATCGATGCCTATGCGACTTTATTTTTGCGACCAGATGAGAATGAGATAATCTCTTCTTCTCCAAGAAGGGGGAGACCTGGGATAAAGCACACAACAAAAAACACAACGATGTACCGCACAAAAAAGCATTTAAATGCGCTTAAGCAATATTTAACAAGGTGGCCCAAAAGTTAGGTAGGGCACACACCTGTATATTTATTTTAGCAAATCACAAAGGGTTGTGTGTACGTATGTTGAACTTATTTCACACCATAACTAGGCAACCTTGCTAATCGTAGGTGTGGGTTATCTAATTAATTTGAGCAAATGTTCAAATTGACGACCATTGACATTAATGCATGCATGAATTATCTTTTGAAACGAATGTAGGATTGTTTCTGTTAATGACAGCTGCCTTCTTTAGCATGCGTTTGTGAAATGAATTCAACTCATTGGTCTTTGGGTATATTTTTATTTTTTAAAGAGTCATCTGAAAAGGAACAACAAAAATAGATATTAATGACGATCTATAAAACATTAACTCAAAGAATAAACATTAAAAATATGTGAAAGCTGGTGCTGCAAGAAACAAATGTAATAACTGTATGTGGTCCTGACTTTTGGGCTATTCTGTACATTGGCCAGCCGATGTCGCAGAGCTGAGCCAATCGCCTGCTCACTTGAATTCCCCGACACAACCTCGTGAGCACGTGGGGCGACGCATGGTGCAACACAAGAACACAAACATACAACAACAAAAAATTAACCCGTAAAAACAAAGTTTTTCCCTATAAATCCTTTATATGCGTGGCATCGGGGCGGCTAGAGTCCTCTCGTCCTCTGGCTTGAGATGGCTGCCACCTATGGGTCAGATGATTGTCTGGCAGCATTAAACAATTGGTAATTAAATATTTTAAAAAAATTCCCTAAACAGTGTAAAATTTTGGAAAACATTTTTCACGAAAATTAATTGTCACGCACAACGAGTCTGTGTGCAAAATGTCAGCTCGATTGGATCACGGGAAGTGGGTTAAAAAACGACCGAAATATTTGCACGGTCCTAAGCAAGCAAGCGAACTTAATATAAAGGATTTAATAACGATGTCATAACCTGGCAAAATGTGTAGACAATTGAACAACTCAAGAGGTGCGGGGTCAAACTCGAAAGTCTGACCCAGACAGAGAGAGAAACCTTCGGATGTTTCTTAGAAGTCACAGTGCATTTCCTGTCGCAGATGTGCCACGGGATTAGAGAGTTTCCACACCGAGGGGACCGACAGCAAAGAACCGACATGAGGCTTTAACAATGTAGTGTAAATTAGTGTAGTGTGTAGTATAGTGTGTAGTGGTGTGGTGTATAGTGTAGTCTATAGTGTTGTGTATAGTGTAGTTTGTGCTGTGGTGTAGTGTATTGTGTAGCGTGGTGTATATACAAATATGCTCAAAATGTCCCCCCCAATATATTGCTATAAAATATATTTCTATTTCTATGATTGTGGTTATGGTTGTACTTTATAAATCCTTAATCTCTGCCATTACACGCAACGAAACAAGAAAAGGTAAAAAAAGAAAAAACAGCAATGTAATACAATACACTATTAGACATTATTGTTAAAAATAAATAAAAAGTCCATCCCATGTGTTGGTGAATTTTTTTAAATATTTTAGGCAGGAAATGAGTTTTCAAATTTAGATTTTTTTTTCTGGGGGGGGGGGGTCCCCAGACCTCCTGGAACATTTGGGTCCCCCCCCCAATGTTGACTCCATGGCTACAGCTTGGGATGAACGTTGATATTTATACGGGGCACGGGGTGACCAATAAGGTCTGAAACGGTCTGTACTAAGCCAGGGCACTGATAAGGGGTTGATAGCTTTGTAGATTTGAGGATGTTGTTTGATGATGACTCGCAGAGAATGGAATTACAGGGGTCGAGTTCAAGTTCATGTATTAGGTATAGCCCTGTGAGCCATTCGGTTCTTGAATCGGGTGCAACCGCAACAAACAAAAAACTAAAACATGAACAAAAAACATCTTAAAGTGAATATGTTACTAAGTGCAAACAGAAAATCCAAGAAAAGACAGCAAAATATTGCAGAAAAAAGCACCGTACACCAACGCTGTGTGCAAAAATCCCAGTGGGATGCAAGTCAAACAACAACAACCACAAGACAACTTAGATTAGAGGCGAGACTGCACTGCAGGCGAGGCTGGTAGACACCCTCTGATTCAGAATGAATGCTGGGTGCACCCCCATCCATTTCGGCTCCTGTGAATAAAAAAAAACAAAATTAAATTATTATTTCACGTAAAAAAAGTGTAACGCAATAATGCGGTGCAGTTGCATCATTGGAACACTCGTCGTCGGTGACGTCTTGATGACATGATGTGACGACGTGCACTGACGGAGCCAGTGGGGTGGGGGTGGTGGCACGTGTCCACCCAATGATCCGATCGAAATCCTTAATTTCGGATCATTGGGGTTTATTAGTAATAAATCGGCATTTTGCGACCCCCACTGCCACTGTGTTGCATATTATTACGTCCCAGGGACTCTATGAGATGATAGGACAATAGTCTGAGTCCATAATTGGCAATAAGTAACGGCAAAGCGGTTGTAAGCGACTCACAGAATTGTGCGCAGTTGCGTCTACAGGACACGACTTCCCTGAAGGCATTCACCTTCAGCGAGCGCGATGCCGATCACACAACGCGGTTCGAATTCGACCCTCGATTGACGTCTGCGCCATCGCCGCACACGCCTCGAATAAAAAGCAAGGGACAAGTCCTCACTTCTAGATTTGAAGCTTTCGTGACTGCAAGGATTCATACTCTTTGTTTTTTTCGGTAAAGTCACGTAGGTAAAAAATTAATTAAATATGTATTTTATTTTGACTCCATGGCTACGTGAATTTACCGAAAAAAACAAATAATATTAAGTCATTACTTACTAACAACTCCTCTATCCCATTGGAACCTCATTTGCCAGTAAAAATATGATAATTGTTTTTTACCCTTCTATCTGGCAACAAAACTGACACCTTTTTAAAATCCTTTATATTAAGTTCGTGTGCTTGCGTGCTTGCTTGCTTGCTTAGGACCGTGCAAATCTTTCGGTCGTTTTTTAACCCACTTCCCGTGATCCAATCGAGCTGACATTTTCCACACAGACTCGTTGTGTGAGACAATTAATTTTCGTGACTTTTTTTTTCCAAAATCTTACACTGTTTAGGGAAAACAAATTAAATATTTAATTACCAGTTGCTTAATACTGGCAGACAATCATCTGACCCATAGATTGCAGCCATCTCAAGCCAGAGGACGAGAGAACTCTAGCCGCCACGCATATAAAGGATTTAGAGTGAAAAACTTTGTTTTTACGGGTTTACTTGTTACGAGGAGTCATGTTTGCATAGACCACAATACCTGCTGTCATAATTCAAACAAAAAACATAACTTTGATAAAAGGACAGTGCATACATTATCAGAGTTATGTTTTTTGTTTGCATTACGACTGCAGGTATTGTGGTCTATGCAAACATGACTCCTTGTAAAAAAAGTGTCAGTTTTGTTGCCAGATAGAAGGGTAAAAAACCAATTATCAACTCCTCTATCATATCTCATTGTTGGAGGGGTTGCCCCCCCTCCACTACCTGAAAATCATGGTTCAGCCATCGACGACGTCTGCACAGCTGGTGGTAGCCAAGGGTGGCACAGTCGGGTTTTTTACAATCGGGTTTAATTGTCTTTCTATATTAAACCCGATCATCTGAGATTGGGAGAAATCCGGTTTAATTGGTTCTAATTGCAGCACCGCACTTCTCAACGATGGGCTTCATCCATTTCCAAGCTAAGGAACTCACTGGCGGCGCCCACGATTGTGGAGGAGAAGCTCGTGTTCATCAAGACCAACCTGCCCGCCGCATTCTACGACTACCCCGTGCCCGACGGCCCCCCCCGAGTACGATAGCAGCACCGACGAGGAAGCAGCCTAAGCCTTGGGTCAGATCTTCTTGGTTCTTTCGGTAAAGTCACATAGAATGGAAATAATAAAATAATAAAAATAAAACATAATAAAATAATTCTCACGACGTTTCGGCCACAACGCAAGCAGCCGTCCTCCGGTGAAGAACAGGTCTGTCGAGAAGACAGCGTCTGAATGACACACCCCAGGCTTGGAGCGTCTATTTAAGCTGGGAGGGAGGAGGAAGAGCGCCTTGACAAAATAATGTGCATATCAAGAGGAATTTTAGCATATTTATGGGAAATACAGATATGCGATTAGTACTACTTGTGAAATGCGTAGGTTTTGCGCAGGGTTTAAAGTCAGAGTTTCGTATTCATTAAACCAGGTTTTAATTCCCCGAAATCGGGTTTAATTGTATTAAAGAAAAAACGCGATGCCTACCGCTGGAAAAATCGGGTTTTTTAAATCCTTTATATTAAGTTCGCTTGCTTGCTTAGGACCGTGCAAATTTTCGGTCGTTTTTTAACCCACTTCCCGTGATCCAATCGAGCTGACATTTTGCACACAGACTCGTTGTGCGTGACAATGCATTTTAGTGAAAATTTTTCCAAAATTTTACACTGTTTAGGGAATAATAAATAAATATTTAATTCCATATTTTTAATGCTGCCAGACAATCATCTGACCCATAGGTGGCAGCCATCTCAAGCCAGAGGACGAGAGGACTCTAGCCGCCACGATGCCACGCATATAAAGGATTTATAGTGAAAAACTTTGTTTTTACGGGTTTACTTGTTCCACCCATGGTAGTGGATGATGTGGGGGGGGGGCGGTCATTCTTGTGCACCGCCCTCCCCATCACATCCACAAAGCGCGCACGACGCAACCTCGCTCTTGAGCGTCACCTGCAGGCGAAACAATTAATTTAAAACAAACAAAATATCATATTCAGTACAGGTATCACGCCACGGTTTTCTTGTTGAAAGGCTGGTGGGTTTACTCTCCAACACGCCGGTGTGTTGGAGAGTAACGAATTGGCACGTTTTGTGGGTGGTGGTGGGTTCATGACACTTTCTAGATTTGAAGTTTCCGTGACTGCAGGGATCCAAACTCTTTGGTTCTTTCGGTAAAGTCACCTGGGCAGAAAATAACATAAATTAAATCACGACGTTTCGGGCACAACACAAGCGTCCTTCATCAGGTGGGACAACCACAGCAAGAAATAATTGATCTTCTTGGTTCTTTCGTTAAAGTCACGTAAAAGGGAAATAATAAAATAATAAAAATCAAACATAACCAAATAAAATATATTTTTTATTTTAATAAAATAAAATATATCTTTTATTTTATTATGTTTGATTTTTAAAACATAATAAAATATTTTATTATAATAAAATATATATTTTATTTTATTATGTTTCATTAATTAAATAAAATATATATTTTATATCTTTCATTTTATATATTATATAAAATATATATTTTATTTTATCATGTTTTATTTTTATAATTTTATTATTTCCCTTCTACGTGACTTTACCGAAAGAACCAAGAAGATGAATCCCTGCAGTCACGAAAGCTTTAAATCGAAAATAAACCATTGCTGAAGCAATTGTTTCTTGCTGTGGTTGTCCCACCTGATGACGGACGCTTGTGTTGCGCCCGAAACGTCGTGATTTAATTTATTTTATTTTATACCTACGGGACTTTACCGAAAGAACCAAAGAGTATGGGTTAATGACACGTTTATATTTACGCGATCTAACCCGTGTCGCCTTTATAGCTGGACTTTTGCCCATAACAGTCTGCTAAATGCCATACGGGGGGGCGTCTTTGTCATTGGTAACATCATCCAGCAGCGAATTAAGCATGGCTGCCGCACTGATGGTGGGTTGGTGACATCATCCAGCAGTGAATTGAGCATGGCTGCTGTACTGATGGTGGGTTGGTGCCATCATCCAGCAGTGAATTGAGCATGGCTTCTGCACTGATGGTGGGGTGGTGACATCATCCAGCAGTGAATTGAGCATGGCTGCTGTACTGATGGTGGAGTGGTGCCATCATCCAGCAGTGAATTGAGCATGGCTTCTGCACTGATGGTGGGGTGGTGCCATCATCCAGCAGTGAATTGAGCATGGCTGCTGCACTGATGGTGGGGTGGTGACATCATCCAGCAATGAATTGAGCATGGCTTCTGCACTGATGGTGGGTTGGTGACATCATCCAGCAGTGAATTAAGCATGGCTGCCGCACTGATGGTGGGTTGGTGACATCATCCAGCAGTGAATTGAGCATGGCTGCTGTACTGATGGTGGGGTGGTGACATCATAAAGCAGTGAATTGAGCATGGCTGCTGTACTGATGGTGGAGTTGTGACATCATCCAGCAGTGAATTGAGCATGGCTGCTGCACTGATGGTGGGGTGGTGACATCATAAAGCAGTGAATTGAGCATGGCTGCTGTACTGATGGTGGAGTGGTGACATCATCCAGCAGTGAATTGAGCATGGCTGCTGCACTGATGGTGGGGTGGTGCCATCATCCAGCAATGAATTGAGCATGGCTGCTGTGCTGATGGTGGGTTGGTGACATCATCCAGCAGTGAATTAAGCATGGCTGCTGTACTGATGGTGGAGTGGTGCCATCATCCAGCAGTGAATTGAGCATGGCTTCTGCACTGATGGTGGAGTGGTGCCATCATCCAGCAGTGAATTGAGCATGGCTGCTGCACTGATGGTGGGGTGGTGACATCATCCAGCAGTGAATTGAGCATGGCTGCTGTACTGATGGTGGGTTGGTGACATCATCCAGCAGTGAATTAAGCATGGCTGCTGCACTGATGGTGGGGTGGTGACATCATCCAGCAGTGAATTGAGCATGGCTTCTGCACTGATGGTGGGTTGGTGACATCATCCAGCAGTGAATTAAGCATGGCTGCCGCACTGATGGTGGGTTGGTGACATCATCCAGCAGTGAATTGAGCATGGCTGCTGTACTGATGGTGGAGTGGTGCCATCATCCAGCAGTGAATTGAGCATGGCTGCTGCACTGATGGTGGGGTGGTGACATCATCCAGCAGTGAATTGAGCATGGCTTCTGTACTGATGGTGGAGTGGTGCCATCATCCAGCAGTGAATTGAGCATGGCTGCTGCACTGATGGTGGGGTGGTGACATCATCCAGCAGTGAATTGAGCATGGCTGCTGTACTGATGGTGGAGTGGTGCCATCATCCAGCAGTGAATTGAGCATGGCTGCTGCACTGATAGTGGGTTGATGCCATCACCCAGCAGTGGAGTGAGCATGGCTGTTGCACTGATGGTGGGGTGGTGACATCATCCAGCAGTGAATTGAGCATGGCTGCTGCACTGATGGTGGGGTGGTGACATCATCCAGCAGTGAATTGAGCATGGCTGCTGCACTGATGGTGGGGTGGTGACATCATCCAGCAGTGAATTAAGCATGGCTGTTGCACTGATGGTGGGGTGGTGACATCATCCAGCAATGAATTGAGCATGGCTGCTGCACTGATGGTGGGGTGGTGACATCATCCAGCAGTGAATTGAGCATGGCTGCTGTACTGATGGTGGGTTGGTGACATCATCCAGCAGTGAATTAAGCATGGCTGCTGCACTGATGGTGGGGTGGTGACATCATCCAGCAGTGAATTGAGCATGGCTGCTGTATTGATGGTGGGGTGGTGACATCATCCAGCAGTGAATTGAGCATGGCTGCTGCACTGATGGTGGGGTGGTGACATCATCCAGCAGTGAATTGAGCATGGCTGCTGTATTGATGGTGGGGTGGTGACATCATCCAGCAGTGAATTAAGCATGGCTGCTGTACTGATGGTGGAGTGGTGCCATCATCCAGCAGTGAATTGAGCATGGCTGCTGTACTGATGGTGGAGTGGTGCCATCATCCAGCAGTGAATTAAGCATGGCTGCTGTACTGATGGTGGGGTGGTGCCATCATCCAGCAGTGAATTAAGCATGGCTGCTGTACTGATGGTGGGGTGGTGCCATCATTCAGCAGTGAATTAAGCATGGCTGCTGCACTGATGGTGGGTTGGTGACATCATCCAGCAGTGAATTGAGCATGGCTGCTGTACTGATGGTGGAGTGGTGCCATCATCCAGCAGTGAATTGAGCATGGCTGCTGCACTGATGGTGGGGTGGTGACATCATCCAGCAGTGAATTGAGCATGGCTGCTGTACTGATGGTGGAGTGGTGCCATCATCCAGCAGTGAATTGAGCATGGCTGCTGCACTGATGGTGGGGTGGTGACATCATCCAGCAGTGAATTGAGCATGGCTGCTGTACTGATGGTGGGGTGGTGACATCATCCAGCAGTGAATTAAGCATGGCTGCTGCGCTGATGGTGGGTTGGTGACATCATCCAGCAGTGAATTAAGCATGGCTGCTGCGCTGATGGTGGGTTGGTGCCATCATCCAGCAGTGAATTAAGCATGGCTGCTGCACTGATGGTGGGTTGGTGCCATCATCCAGCAGTGAATTAAGCATGGCTGCCGCACTGATGGTGGGTTGGTGACATCATCCAGCAGTGAATTAAGCATGGCTGCTGCACTGATGGTGGGGTGGTGACATCATCCAGCAGTGAATTAAGCATGGCTGCCGCACTGATGGTGGGTTGGTGCCATCATCCAGCAGTGAATTAAGCATGGCTGCTGCACTGATGGTGGGTTGGTGACATCATCCAGCAGTGAATTAAGCATGGCTGCTGTACTGATGGTGGGGTGGTGACATCATCCAGCAGTGAATTGAGCATGGCTTCTGCACTGATGGTGGGGTGGTGACATCATCCAGCAGTGAATTAAGCATGGCTGCTGCACTGATGGTGGGTTGGTGACATCATCCAGCAGTGAATTAAGCATGGCTGCTGCACTGATGGTGGGGTGGTGCCATCATCCAGCAGTGAATTGAGCATGGCTGCTGCACTGATGGTGGTTTGATGCCCTCACCCAGCAGTGGAGTGAGCATAGCTGCTGCACTGATGGTGGTTTAGTGCCATCACCCAGCAGTGGAGTGAGCATGGCTGCTGCACTGGTGGTGGCAGGCATCCTGCACGCCACCTCGTGTTGTATTTGTGCCGTCTGACGCATGCGCAACACCGGGGAGCCCCGGGGGGGTGAGAGTCACTGGTCGTGGATTCGATCCTCAGCCATTCATTGCCAAGTCAACTCCGGCGGTGCAACGCGGAGGGAAAGGAGCGAGAGAGAGAGTAGCAAGTAGCAGCAGGAGATAGAGAGAGGAGAGGACAAGGGGTAGTGATAGAGACAGCGAGAGAGAGAGACGGAGAGAGGCAGAGAAGAAAGAGAAGGCGGAGGAGGAGAATAATGGCAGGCGGCGTGGTTCTGTCGGCAAAGAATGCGGCCACCTCGATTCTGAGGTTGACGTCGCAGGCGGCGAAAGTAAGGATACCACCACTACTCCACCACTACCACCACTCCACCACTACTCCACCACTACCACCCCTACCACCACTACTACCACCACCACCACTACTACCACCACCACCACACTACCACCACCAACACCACCACCACCCCACACCACCATCACCCCATTACCACCCCACCGAGACCACCACCACCACCAACACCCCACCACCACCACCACCACCCCACCACCACCACCCCGCCACCACCACCCCGCCACCACCACCACGCCACCACCACCACGCCACCACCACCACCACCACACCGCCACCACCACCCCGCCACCACCACCACGCCACCACCACCACCACACCACCACCACCACCCCACCACCACCACCCCACCACCACCACCCCACAACCAACACCCCATTACCACCACCACCCCACCACAACCACCACACCACCACCACCACACCCCCCCACCACCACTACCACCACCCCACCACCACCAAGCTCGTCCGCTCCTTCAGCTTGCTAGTGAGCGGCGGTCGTGATGTTGTGCCGCTGGTTGTGGATGGTTGTTGATGGTTGTGGTTCACAATCTTCTTCGGCTTGTGCGTGTGTCGGCGTGGTGATGCGGTGTGCGGATGTGTGACAATGGGGGGGGTGGGGGGGCGTGTTGGGTGTTATGGTGGGGTCTGTCTGTGTGTGTGTGTGCGTCTTCGCCTGAACAGCACTTGCCCCCAATGGTATGTTAAGGCTACACGGGGGATCTTTGTCTTTGTCTTTGTCTGTGTGGTGATGCTGCGTGTGAAGGTTGTGGTGTGCGTGCGCGTGTTAGTGGGGAGCGGTGGTGCAGCGGTTAACACGCCGTGCTCTGAACCAGCCGGCAGATTTTGGCTCGCGGAGCAAAGCGCACGTGGCGACACATTTTTCGAACCGGTCTTTGGGGCCCTCCCCTAGGTGGACTCGGTCTGAAATGAGCCAAGGGGGGGTACACGCTTCGGTGTGTACACGTCGGCGCCGGGGGGAGACAAAGGCGGCCGGGCGTGGTGTTGTGGCAACCTCGCCGTGCCTCGTTGACGCTGCGACGCGCTCTTAACAAACAGCACTCGCCCACCCCATTCATCCCATCCTCCCCCATCCACCACATTCACCCCATCCATCCCATCCATCCCATACACCCCATCCACCCATCCATCCCATCCACCCCATCCCATCCACCCCATCCCATACACCCCATCCCATACACCCCATCCATCCCCATCCTTCCCATCCTTCCCATCCCCCCCCATCCATCTCCTCCATCCCATACACCCCATCCACTCCACCCATCCCATCCACCCCATCCATCCCATACACCCCATCCATCCCATCCTCCCCATCCCATCCCCATCCTTCCCATCCTTCCCATCCACCCCCATCCATCTCATCCATCCCATACACCCCATCCACTCCACCCATCCCATCTATCCCATCCATCCCATACACCCCATCCATCCCATCCTCCCCATCCATCCCATCCTCCCCATACACCCCATCCATCCCATACACCCCATCCATCCCATCCTCCCCATCCATCCCATCCTCCCCATACATCCCATCCATCCCATACACCCCATCCATCCCATCCTCCCCATCCACCCCATCCATCCCATCCATCCCATACACCCCATCCATCCCATCCATCCCATAAAACCCATCCTTCCCATCCTTCCCATCCACCTCATCCACCCCATCCATCCCATCCACCCCCATCCACCCCATCCATCCCATCCACCCCCATCCACCCCATCCACCCCATAAAACCCATCCTTCCCATCCACCTCGTCCCCCCCATCCATCCCATCCACCCCATACACCCCATCCATCCCATACACCCCATCCATCCCATCCTCCCCATAAAACCCATCCTTCCCATCCTTCCCATCCACCTCATCCATCCCATCCACCTCATCCATCCCATCCACCCCCATCCACCCCATCCATCCCATCCACCCCCATCCACCCCCATCCACCCCCATCCCATCCATCCCATCCACCCCATTCACTCCACCCCATCCATCCCATCTCATACACCCCATCCCATCCACCACATCCACCCAATCCATCCCATACACCCCATCCACCCCCATCCCATCCATCCCATCCATTCACTCCACCCCATCCACCCCATCCATCCCATTTACCCCATCCACCCCCATCCATCCCATCCACCCCATCCATCCCATACACCCCATCCATCTCATCCTCCCCATGCAACCCATCCATCCTATCCATCCCATCCACCCCATCCATCCCATATACCCCATCCATCACAAGCAGCCTCCGAAAAGGCTTGCACCGGGGGTGGAAATCTTTGCCCATTTACGGGGCCCTTGGTTTATTGCGCCAGTTGATGTTTGCGGATGTGGTGGTGGGTTGGTGGCAGGGTGGCGTGATGGTGTTAAGTGTGTTGTGTTGTGGTGGTGGTGGTGTGTGTCAATGTCATGGGAGCGGTAGTGTGGTTGTGGGTTGGCGTAATTGCGCCACGAAGCCGGCGACCCGAGTTAGATTGCCGCTCACGTTTCAATATTTGAACCAGTCCGGGGCCTCCCCTAGGTCGACTCGGCCTCAAATGAGTACCTGGTGCGGTGTGTGTAAAACATCGCCACCGGGGGAGACAAAGGCGGCCGGGCGTGATGCTGGCCACCCACCTCTCTCGTGTGCCTTGCGTGCCTTAATAGGTGCTCGCTAACAGCACTTGCCCCTGTAACTCTGTGTAGGCTACACGGGGGTCCTTTGCCTTTAGTGGCGTGTGTGTGTGTGTAACGTGAAGCCTCGGCTGTTGTGAGTACACGTGGCCGGGAGTTCCACTTGCTGGGACTCGCCAATGTTGTGTACACGTCACTGGTACGTGGTTGTCGCAGTATAGCAGTGGCTCTTAAACTTGACCGCAGCCATTGGTTCTGAATTGTTTAAAATGTATGTTAATATATACATAGGGTTTGATGAAACACAATAGTTGTAACTTTGATGCCCGTGCTTGATTTGTGTTTTTAAGATGATTTACCTTTAAAAAAACAAGATCTGGTCACGTCTCGCACCCCCAGAAAGGGCATCTCGCACCCCCAGAAAGGGCATCTCACACCCCTTGGGGGTGGCGTGCACCTCCCAGGTAATGCACCACTGCTGTGTAGCTTCTGTTGTTTTGTAGTGCCGCGTGTCGGGTCGGCGTGATGTCCGACGTTTTGCCGCAACCCCGTTTTTTGCTGGGAGCTTCTTCCAAAACTGAATGTAAGAACGGCTCACAAACTTAAATTGTAGCAGTCTGTGGTCGACTGCTGTTCGTGACCGATGCAGGCATCGTCAGGCAGGCAGGGTGCTGCTGCTGTTGTGCATCTTCTGGGAGGAGTTTAAACTACGAAACTATTTTATTTTACTAGCGAAGGCCCACTGAGCTATACTGCTCTTTTTCAGAAGCGACTTGACCACAAATGATAGCTCAACGAAGTGGCTCATCATCATGTGGAAATGTATCGCAGCCAAATACTCTGAATGTGATGTTGATTTCTAAACGTGGAGGGAAAATCCGGAGGACCCGGAGAAATTCCACGCGACCACGGAGAGAGAGAGACAAGCAATTTTCAAATCTACAGCAGCAGGCGTCAGGGTCGGGATCGAACCCACAACCTCCTGTGTACTAGGCGAGGTAATTAACATCTCCTAGCCACCGTGGTGATGATGATGATGAGAGAGACACAAACTCCAAATATACAGCGGGCGGCACGGTCGGGATCGAACCCACGACCTCCTGTATACTGGGTGAGGTAATTAACATCTCCTAGCCACCGTGATGATGATGATGATGAGAGACACGCAAACTCCAAATATACAGCAGGCGGCAGGGTCGGGATCGAACCCACGACCTCCTGCACACCAGGCGAGGTAGTTAACATCTCATCATCGTAGAGTATGCGGAGAAAGCCCATCACTAACCTGTTGCATTCGAGAGTGATGGCAATCTAAAAAGTCCCTTTACGAGACACATTCACGAACATTTACCCCTTAGGGGGAGTGGAGGCAGTCGTCCCCTCCCCTCCTTCCCGACAAGCCATGGGGAAAGAGCCGTCCGTCTGGAACATTCGTTCTGCTCTCTTCGCAATTCAAACATTTCACCTGGGAGGAACATCGCTACCGTTTGTAACGCCGTCCAGCCCAGGGTGCCTGGGTTCTCGTGCCTTGTACGGGAGGTTGACCACTGTGCACACACAACCGGTTGTCGTGGTGGGGGGGGGGGGGGGCAACTTGTTGTTGTTGTGCACTGGAAGGGGCAACGCAGCAATTGTGTCTATTGTTGTGCTCTACTTATGCAGGGTGCTTAAACAAATGTTAACACTCGTATGGGACTATCGTTGTTAATGGGAACAGAACGGATAAGAATTCACTGTAACGTGATAAGAAATGTAATTTACACCATTGGAACCTCATTTGCCAGTAAAAAATATGATAATTGTTTTTTTTACCCTTCTATCTGGCAACATCTGGTCCAACCCATGTGAGACTAGGCTCTAAGGAAAGCTGTCTCGGGTGTGGACCAATCCACTTCAAGGACAGTGCACACATTATCAGAGTTATGTTTTTTGTTTGTATTATGACTGCAGGTATTGTGGTCTATGCAAACATGACTCCTTGTAAAAAAGGTGTCAGTTTTGTTGCCAGATAAAAGGGTAAAAAACAATTATCATATTTTTTATAGGCAAATGAGGTTCCAATGGTGTAAATGCTTACCCCGAGCTCTCATACTCTGATGGTGCATTGTCTTTGAGTTGTGCGCCTTTTGGCGTCATCTGGTCCAACCCATGTGAGACTAGGCTCTAAGGAAAGCTGTCTCGGGTGTGGACCAATCAACTTCAAGGACAGTGCATACATTATCAGAGTTATGTTTTTTGTTTGCATGACTGCAGGTATTGTGGTCTATGCAAACATGACTCGTTGTAAAAAAGGTGTCAGTTCTGTTGCCAGATAGAAGGATAAAAAAACAATTAACAA